AAAAAAAAAAAAGAAAAGAAAAAGAGAAATAGAGGATTAATGAATGGCATGGGAGGGCATGATTGGAAATGGCTTGTTTGATCATTTTGGATTCCTGAAGAGGATTGTGATTAAGAAAAGCCTACATTCAGATCCCAATTCTACCAGTTATTTATTGAGACCTTGAAAAAGCTACTTATCTTCTTTCAGCCTCCCTTGCATTCATCTGTCTGATGATTTTGAAAGTACACAGAATTGTAAATGTTCTTGTCCTAGTGCCTAGTGCACAATAAGTGTTGTTACTATGATCAGTTATTAATTAAATATTAGTATGTATCAAGAATATTTGACAGGTTTTTAAAAACAAAACAAATATCAAAAAAGCAATTAAGTCAGTAGGGCTGAAAGGGAGGAGCTTTAATTTAGGGGCTGAGTTTTTTTTTTTTTTTTTGGCCAGGGCTGGGCTTGAACCCACCACCTCTGGCATATGGAGCCAGTGCCCTGCCCTTGAGCCACAGGTGGCACCCCAAGGGGCTGAGTTCTAAAATGCAAGTTGAAAATGGATTTAAACTGTTTTCCTTAGAAGAGTTATAAAGAGTTGGATATAGAAGTGTTTCCGTGACTGATTTCCTATACAAGTCTGTAGTTTCCTGCTTCTGCTTTCTGTCCCATAGTCATGGACTTGTGTGTGTGATCTTGTAAATCCATAGCGCATCAACTTTCCAGTCTTTTCAGTAGATACTTTCCCCCCTCCACAATACGTAGAGGTTTAGTATCAATCTTTGGATAGTAAAAATCTATAAGAAGTAGCACACCCTAGAATATTAGTAATTGCTGATCTCTCCTTATCATAAGTCACCATTAATAGTGTTGGGAAACTTACTTTCTCCTTAGCAAGATTTTCATTAATTTAGGCCTTTACACCTAGTGTAAAGGATCTAAATAATAAGGATAGTCTTTAAAGTTTGTAACTCTAGCAATGAAAATATAAAATATGTTTTTTCTCCCCAAGCACGTCAGTCATTTCAAAAATTATTTTTGGCTTTGATAGTCTTAAAATAACCATAAGTAACATTGCGGTTTTGGCAATATCTAATGTTTTATTGTTTTTCAGAGCATGCTTAAGGTTCCACGGGTATAAACTAGATAACCTTTTCTGGTACACAGATATATTTTTTAAAAATTTTAATAGTTATGCATTTATTTTGGAGGTTTCCAAACAATTCAAGCTTGGCAAACGTTTCTTTTTCAGTAAATCTGAATAAAATGTGACTTTCTTTAAAAAAAATACTAAGTAATAATATTGCTTAATATACAGCTGCTTAGTAATAATAAAATAAGTAATTTGTAAATGTTAGTTTGAAATCACTGCAATTTTATGTATAGAAAGTTACTTTAGCATAAAAAGGGTTTTAATGGTTTGTTTTTAAGTATTTTGAATCTTCACAGGTCTCCTTCCAGAGGAATAAAAATTGAGGAAAGGCAGCCTCTGGTGGCTATAGTGCATGTTGCATTTACCTTTGATAATCTTAAATGATTTATTCAGCAAACATGTAGAGTCTACTAAGTGTCTAGTTGGTGATGGGTACTGAGATGCTCCCTCCTCACAGAATAATAGTGAAGTGACAGAGACACACTTTAATCCAAAATAGTCAAAGATATAGAGATAAATAATTATAAACTTTTATGAAAGTAAATGTTTTGGCTTCTGACGTAGCCTGCATATTCCCCAAGGAAATGATCATTCCCCAAGGCAAAGGATAGGTTGGAAGCGCGTTGTTTGGAGAGCAGTCGTCAGTCGTGTCTATGAAGGTCTTATGGGGAGCATGGAATACTTAAAGAAATGCAAGAAAACCAGCGAGTTGAGGTACCCTAAAGCAAGGGGGAGTCCTATGAGACAAGGTTAGAAAAGAGGCAGAGGCCAGTTCTGTGAGATCTTGTAAGTCATATGCAGGATTTTAGCCTTGATTAGGATAGGGAAAGATGTTCAGATTTGCATTTTGAAAAAAGCAAAACAAAAGAATAGTACTCTGGCTACACAGCAAGAAATGCATCAGAGGGGGTTTAGAGTGATATGGGAAGACCTATTTCTGCATTGCAATAGTGCAAGTGAGAGATGGTATACATCTTGGACTGCAGGTGTGTTGGGAGAGATTAAGGCAAATTAACAGAATCAAGAGACAAAGTAATTGTGACGTTGGCTTGAATATAGGGAAAGGATAGTGTATAAAGAATCACTCCTAGTTCTCTGATTTGCATGCTTAAGTGAAAGGTGGTGCCATCCTCCTGAAATTGTGAACACTAGTGATTTTTGGAGGGTAAAAAACAGGACTCATGGGGAATATGAGTTTGACTATAAGCCTACTCAATTTGAGTGTCTTTGAAGTCTCCAAGTGGATTTATCAAAGTTGGATTACGTACATGGACTTGGAACTATGATTTGTTGAGACTCTACGTATAGGTGATAACTGAAGACAAGGATATGATTAAACATTCTAGGATAGAAAATGTGGAGTGAGAATAGAACCAAGACTAGGACCAAGATTTGAGTAACTTCAAAATTTAATGTCTAGATAGAAACTATTCTATGCTGGTCAGAGACATAGGGGGAAAATCAAAGGAATAATTTTCATGGAAGCCAAGGGATGAGAGCCTATTAAAAAAACAAGGCATGCTTATGCAGAAAACATTGAATTTTCTCCAATTGAATGGAGAAAATGAAGACTGAAAAACAGCTATTGGACTTTACTCCATTAGCTGTCTTAGTGAAAGCTTTGTCTCTGAGGTAAGGAAAACAAGACTTAATTTAGGAAAAAAAGTGGTCACTTTCAGTTTTTTCAGGAAATTTGGCTGTAGTGGGGAAAAAGGATAGAAGATGCCTTTAAAATATGTTTTCATTATTCCTTATGTATATGAAATAGATCCATATCAGAGATCCGTAATTCATTTTCAGTGATGTGGCATTTGATTCTGAAAAAACAATGTACCTATTCCAGATAATTAGATATTGTTTCCAATTTTTATTACTACAAATAGTGACAGCCAATATTTAAATGTAAAGTTTTTGCCATGTTTGTTTCTGATGTGTAATTTATCTTAGTGAATTCTAAAGTGGTAGCTGTACTAAGACTTGTATTTGGTTAAAAACATAAATTTCATTTCTATCTCATACTGTATACAAATAAATTCTAAGTAATGAAAAGTGAAAGGAAAAATCTGAAAGTATTAGAAGAGTATGTATGACATATGAACAAGGGAACTTTTATTGTATAATACAAGACACAAAAAACTCACTCCAGAAAGGATAAGCTTGATGAATTGTACTGTGTAAAAATTTAAAACTTCATTTTAACAGAAGTTACTAGGAACAAAATTTATGTATGAAAATATGTATATGT